TACTTTTGTCTCTGGGCAGAAGATCAAACACTGACACTTCCTGGACTGGAGCAGGTAGCACATCACAAAAATTGATGTTTTGATAGCATAAGGAAATCTGCACCAGGAAAAAAGCCAGGCTAAATCATGTAGTGCTAAGTAACAGCAATTCAAGCAGAAGACAAAAATTGTGTCATAAATTAAAAGATTTTGAAATAAGCAAAAAACGAGACATTTCTGGCATGTGAGATTCAAAGTGTTCCAGTGAGTGAGTCAGGAAGAGAAGGGTCAGGTGATGGCAGCCTCTGCATCTGAGATACAGAGGAGGAAATGTAGTGATAAGACTGCATAGTATTTGCTGACTTTTGCTCTGCTTACTCAGCAGCAAAGATACAGGTTCCATCAGCCCTTCTTTTCCTGTGATAAGTAAAAATTAATTATTACAGAGATACCTTGAGAAAGATACTATTTTAAGGTGATTTAATTTGATTTAATGCAATGAAATACTTAATTCCTGACAAAAACATGAATTTTTGAAAGAAAGACGTACACATTCTCTGAACCCTCCTTCAGAAGCAGTATTTAATATTTTTCTTAGGAATTTAATCTGTATTCTGAAATGCTGAGACATTAGTCTCGCTTTACAACCCCCACCTTGTTGGTTTCAAAAAGAAACAGCTGTCTGATGTGTTGTTTGTAACTTGCATCATGTAAAAAATACCTAGGGGTGGCTTACCTGTCTGTGTTGGTGACCTCTGTAAGGCCAGTGTATGGTTTTTGGGTGCACAGTGTGTATGTCCTCACTCATCACTTCTGCAACTGAACTGACCTGTCACCTGCAAAGTACACAGTGCTATTCAGCACGTGGTTCAGCCTGAAAATTACTTGCTCCTTTCCCTTCTCCGAGGCAGTTTCAGTACCAGTGGTGTGCCTGTTCTGTGTAAGTATCAATAAGAAGCCTAGTGCCTGCCCAGTGTTTTCCATGTTGAGTACAGCTGAAAGGATGGTTGAATTTGCCAAGGTTGCTGTTTCTTCTGAAACTGATTTCTCCTAGCTCAAGGGATCTCAGAAGCTCTCTGGAGCAAGCATGTTTCCTGAAACTTTACCTTGAAGGTCACCAATGCTTACTTCAAAGACTGCCTTATCTCTTTGTCCGGTTTTTGAAAATGTCCTGGCAACAAAACCTGTGATTATGTATGCCACAAAATCATTTTGCATAGTTTAATCTACTTCTTATGCACCATAAGAATTGGAAGGAGTAGCAAAGGCAGGCTCATATGGTAGACCAGCTTGACAGGCTGCCTGGAAAACACAGGAGCTGGAGCTGCAGGAAAGTTTTGAGTGGTCCCCTGATTGTCTGCAGAAGCAGTGGCAAGCATTAGCCCATGGTAATAAATAATTACCATGACCAGCTGTGGCATGTGCTGATCTTTCAGTGACTTGACCCAATCACTTCTGTAGTCATTGCCTAAAATTCCAAGATGCCAGTGTTAGCTTTACCAGTAGCTTCTATTATGAAAAAAAAAAGCAATAGTTGCTCTGAGATCAGCAACCCACTGAAACTGCAGAATATTCATGAAGTCCTTTAGTTGTGTGTATGGCTGCAATTTGACCCTAAAAAACCAAAACCCAAAACAAACAAAACCCCCTTCCCCCCAAAAAACCAAGCCAACCCATCAGCAACGACCAAAAGAAGAGAATGGGGAAACATCTGATGCTTTTTCCTACTCTGAACAGATTTCTTAGTACTTCTTCCTTGTTTATCTTTAGGCTTTTAGAGGTTTCAGAAGGGCTTGGCATGTAAGTCATGCTGCTATCCAGCAATATGGTATTAACTTGAAGCAATTCAAAGCATGGTATAATACCACTGTAATTGGAAATCTGTGACCCACACCTGACACTGTAATCCTTGTGATGTTTTTATTCTGGAGGGTAGAGGGAAATTAGTATTTTTCATTAACTCATTGCTTGTCAAGTTCCTCTGAACTGAAACACATGAAAAATTCTTATGTATTGTCTTTTTTTTCCCCTTTTATTAATGATCTAGAGTCATTCTTCTGATAAAACATATCTTCATAGCCAGGAAGATTTCAGGACAAGGGAATAGCTGACTGGGGAGAAATGCTAATGTAATGGTTAAGGAGAAGCTGTCTTATACCTCATGGCCACAAACAAGTGTTTAGAAATCAAATGGAGTGAAATTCCATAGGAAGGAATAGTTAACTAAGCATCTTGGCAACAGTGCCTGGGAGTTTCAAGTGCAGCCACCAAGACATGATATTTGGCAGTGCTTTTCTGCACTGCATTGTGGTGGAAGGGAAGGTGTGTGAATTCTGTCAACGGTTTGGAAAGCTCTTATTCTTCTAAAAGCAGTGCTTGTTTTTTGCTCAGCAGTGAAGTGATTCTGCTCCTACTGTGGTACAACACTGATGAAACAGGTGCCTTGACCCTGGGAAGTGAGAAGGATTTGCTCAAGGGGTACTTCATTTTGTTGACTTCACTAAGGAGGTTGTGGACTCCTGACTGACATGTAGAATTTAGATGAAAATGCTGATGTCTTTTGTACTCTTCACTTCTGTATATTTTCCTTACAAATCCACACAGATCACTTGCCTTTCAGGAGCATAGTGTGGCCAGGACATGTTCTTTGACAGTGAACTCAATGTATGGATGCAGCTGAACTTTCTACAGACTGTAAATGAAAATTATGACTTTGTTTGACTCTCAAGGTGAGCTAAACATAAAATGCAGGAAAGACTTGTAAGCATTTAGAGATTCAATTTTTCTCTCTCTCGGTGATATTGAAACCTTGAATTTAAATTTCATTTGATACTGATGGTGGGAACAACCTTGAAAGCACAGCTGAGGACTTGGCTTGTGATTGGATAGTACTTTCAATCATCACCAAGGTCTAAAACTAAATCACACTTCCCCATTAAAGCCTGAAGGTGGTCATTTAGTTATATGATTAGAAGTAACCAAAGGTGGATGGATGGATGGATGGATGGATGGATGGATGGGTGGATGGATGGATGGATGGATGGATGGATGAGCTGACTACCAGCATTTATCCTTGAGAGGAAACACTGACCACATGGAATGTGTGAGCACTCCCAGAGCAGATATTGCATAGGCCACTGCCCAGTAATGAGTGAAATTGTAAAATTTCAGTGCAGCTAAATAGAGCTACTGGTGAGGCAGCCAGGAGGGCTTGAATTAGTTCTTGCTGTTCTTGGAGCAAGTTAATGTGGTTTTTGTCTGTGCTATTGCTTGAGTTTTCACCTTTCAGTTTGGGAATGCTGGGGAGAAATCACTTCCTCCTTTAGGAACAGTCCATCTGCATGATAAAAGGGTATTTCCCTAGTAAGGTTAGATTACCTGCTTTAATTTAGATTTTAAAATAGAAACTAATCTCTAAAATAGGAAATAAAATATAATACTTGATATTATTTATCTATTATCCTTAAGAAGAACACTGCAGTTTATCTGTTTTCCCTAAGAAAAGTACTGCAGTACTTGTATTTTTTTCCTCCCTCTTCTTCCTGATTCTTTTTTAGGCACAGGAAGTATGGCAATTCATCCTACGTAATCTTTTTGCTTTTGAGTGGTTGTTGTTAGCAGTTGTGGAGCTGTTCCCTGGCAGTTTTGTTGGTTATGCAATTAAGAACCATAAAAAGTATGTACTGCAAGAAGCAATTGATATTGTAAGTATATGAAACTCTAATACAAGAAAAAGGAAGTCTTCACACTGATAATGGATCAGAAGCAGAACAAAAACGTAGTTGAAGCAATGGTGGGGGGAGGAGTGATTTCCCAGTCTCAACAGAAAGTGTTTTATCAAAACTAAAGATCAACCACTGGCTTTTTTCATTCTGTTTCCCAGCACTTGTTCATTTCCCTGTCATAGGAAATTTTGTTTAGAGTAAAAAGACCAAAAGCCTTCTGTTTGTCTTCTCCATCACTGGTATTTTGGGTAGTGTTTTCTCACGATAAAAAGGTAACTTCTTAAGCAGAAGTTTCACTGGTTTCACTGTGTGTTCTGCTTCACTGACTGCTGTGTGTGTTACAGAAGTCCCCAAGTATATGTCTTGCTACCAGACAGAATATTGTATTCACTATATTTGCAAGTGGCTGCAGCATGACTGGGCAATCTCACTGAAATCAGTGAAAAAAGGCAGCTTTAGGGGGGCTTGCATTTCCATTATTGATTTCTTTCTTTTTTCCAAATTACTTGATGAAAAAGTGATGTATTTTAAATATTTTAGGAAGCTTTTTGGTGTTGAAATATTAATTTTTTGCCATTAAATATTTTAAATTGTGGTGGCTGTTTGGAGTTTAAGCTGCTTTTGCTAACCTGCACCAACATATAACTTGGTCATTAGAAAAACAGATGACAAAATGAAACGTGCTACTTCAGCCTTGTCATTCACTAGGAGTGTTAGGAATGAGATATTTTGGGCTTGAATAATTTCTCACTTAAATCAGCTTTGAGATAGGAGAGAAACACACTGCAGAATTCCATGGAATAAAGATACATAACTGGAAAAAAAAATTGAGTTGCCATTTTGAAAAAAAAACCATAGCCCATTCAACCAGATCAGAAAGGGGGGGAAGTAACATCAAACTGTATAGCTTTACAGCTATGCTCAGTGGGGAGAGATAGCAGAAAGAAAATTCTTCAAACAGCCCAAGCCCAACACAGTGGGGTTTTTTTGTCTGGACTCAGCATTTGTGAGGCTGCCCCTCAAGTCCCATGTCCAGTTCTGTGTCCATCGTTTGGAGAAGGATGTTGAGGTGCTGGAGCCAGTCCAGAGGGAGCTGGAGAAGGGTGTGGAGAGTGAATCCTATGAGGAGCAGCTGAGGGAGCTGTGGGTGCCCAGCCTGGAGTAAAGAAGGCTCAGGGGAGACTTTATTGCTCTCTACAACAGCCTTGTTCTGATCTTGGAGACAGCCCAAATGATTATGCAATTCTGTGAAACGTCTGTGACGTGTGCTTGTGCTCTCCTTTTCCCCAAAAGGAAAGTTCCTAATATATTTTTACATTAACAGCAGTTAGCACTGGTGAGCCAAATTTTTACCCCTACCTTGCAGAGATGCTTGACACTGCTGAGCCTGTGCAACAAGAAGTGTTTGAGTGTTCTTCTATAACTTCAGCTCGGACCATACATGCTAGTTAAGCATACATAAATGGAATTTTTTAAAAAAGAAGAAAATTTTAGTGTGTTTTTGATATTCCTTTTTTATCAGTACCATTCTAGCTATAGAAGTGAAATGATGGCCTTATCTTTATGGAGATGGGAACTATACAATGACACCCTTTAGGATGTAGTCTTATGTATGGTCATTTTTTTTTTTTTGAAACAGAGTATCCTGTTTTGATATGACTGACCCCATAGAAATTTGACAGCAAAGTGTTCATTCCAGAATAATTTCCTGGTCAAAGAAATGTATGTGTGCTTATCTTTGTGCCCTGTTTTATTAAAATGGGTGGAGTTTGTAATTCAGAAATGTTTGTAAGAGGCATTGGGCAGGGTGGGTGTTCAGCACTCCTTGGCTGGGCTTGACCTAAATATGTAGTTGCATAATAACAAAAGCAGTTTCAAGCTCTGTATCACTAAACAGGAGGTGATGTGTATGTAATCTGGCAAGTAAATAAATCTGTCCTCTTCCCACGTGGGTACCTGTCCTGAGCAAACTGTCCATTTTATTGGACTGCAGACACAGTTAAAAATTTGGAATTTTCAGTGAAAGAGCAAGTTTAAAATTTAAGTTAATGACAGGATGTTTCTATTTGGTCTAATTATACCCTTCCCTTCATGGAGCTTTGAAAGCACGGATGCTGTGAAATTTAGCCCGAGTTTTAGCTCTCCTGCAGGATCCAAGCAGTTTGTGTCTCCAGTTCTCTGGAGGGATGAGTTTCAGGAAAATTATTGAGACAGGCATTTGATTCTTTTGACTCAGATGTTTTAGAGTCTCTGGACCTCATCTGCAGTCGCACAGATGACCTGGGAGTGAGGCACAAGGCAGCGCTGCCTCACTGTGTTTGTGCACTGGGAATGCTGGCTGGGCAGAGCTGTTGGGAGGTGGGTACAAGGATGGATGAACCCTGAGATGGCTCTTGGAGCACAGAAGAAAAGCAGTGACTTCCAGCAATGAACAAGCATCACTGGACTGTCAAGTGTGACAAATACATAGAGAAAGGGAATAGCCCAGTGCTTCTAAAAAGGGATTATTTTTAAAATGAATAAATTCTGAGGTGCAGGTAATGCAAACGTGTTTTCTGCTATATATGGCATTAAGCTTCGCTTTTTCCACTGTCTACTAATAGAAAGCAAAAGTGATAATGACCTTTAAATAACTACTAAATATCAATATAATGTCTATTCAGTTGTTTGGTTTTTTTTTTCAGGTTGATTTCTTTTTTACTACAAACCAGTGAAGATGACACCAAAACATGAAAAACAGGTAAGTTGTATCTAAGCTTTAATAAAAAAGGATTCAAGTTTGGCAGCTGTGGATTGAATTTCATTAAGGTTCATGTGGATCAGGAAAGACTGATTGTATTTTTCATACTTCTAGTTGCCAGGATACAGAATATTCTGGAATGATGCAGTGCCAGTTCCTTCTGTTAAAGTCTGATAGAATCAGATACTCATTCAGAGTAATTCACTGTGTATAAGGGGCTCAAACTCTGAGACAGGAGAGAAGGATTTGGATGGAGTCTTCTTTTTTTCAGTTTTAGGTATTTTATAGGACTAATGGTTGGATCTGGGTCCCAACTCTGATTACCAGCTGCATGGACCACGAGAATTCCACTTGCATGTTCTCTTCTGCTCAGTCCAATGAACATTAAGTTTCAACAAATTATTTTGTCTCAGCTGTTAGTCTCTTATCAGCCTTACTACACAGCATACATGGAGTGAGGATGCCAACACCCACAGCATGAAAAGTCCCATGTCCTTTGTGGCTGATCCTTTTACTAACAGGCAACTAGATGGGATATGCTATTTTTCTTGGAAGATTTGTGGAAAATTACTCTTCAGGGGTTATTGACTAATCAGATTTGTAACAGGAGCACAAGCTCATCACCTGATACAGTCCTGAGCACAGACATTTGAATTAAAATGCAGCTGAAATGATTAATCCAAATAATCAACCAATGTGAGATTGGGTTTTTTTCCTCCTTCTTGTGGTATATTTTCCCTTCATATTAAAAATAGATATTTCCATGTCAGTTTTCCTATTTTCCTAGTAGGAAAATGTTAGAGACTTCTGAGAAAGGCACTTTTTTTGTAGTCAAATTCTACATAGTAAGGCTTCTGCCTTATCCTTTTCTCTGAGGAATCCATTGCATTATGCAGAAATATATCCAACAAAAGAAAAGAGAGAAGGGGAAGAAAAAAGAAAGAGAAAAATTAAAAGATTTCCTGTGTTTGCTTCAGCTGCCTTTATATGGGTTGTTTTTCCTTTTGAGGCAGGTTTAAATGAAACATTTTGTTTTTCCATGCTTGTGTCTATGTGACCTCAGTGCTGTCCTTTTAGTCTGCTGTCAACATTCATGTTCTTTGCATAGATCTGTAACCATGAGGGAGTAGGTGTACTCCAGTTTTGGGTGTCACTTTGGCCATTTTGTCACTTATGTGTGACCCTATCTACTTGAACTGTTCCTGGCCTTGAGGACAGGGTAGCAAAATACCACCAGTGCCATGCTTTAACTGGCTGCTTTAGCCAGGAATTAAAAGGCACATCCAGCCAGAGAAACTGCTCTGCAATTGCTGCTTCTAAAGTAGTTATGATTCATTTTGGGGCAGATTTGAAGGTTCTGAATATTCACGAGGATGTTTAGGCCAGCATAACTGCTGGGATCCATATCAAAGCTATAACTGTAGCAGTTTGGGCAGGAAATGGTTTGTCTCTGAATTTAGCAGTTTCCAGAGAGAAGGAATAAATGGAGATGCTGCATCTTTCAGTTGCTTTCTCTTGAGTATATACTGTTCCCAGTGCAAGAGGCCTCCTTGCCCAAGCCTGGACAATTTTAACTGTCAGCAGCAAATTTTGGTTTTGAGAGAATTGTTGCTCTGAAGCTTTACAGGACACATCTTCGTGAATGCATTGATATAAATGCCTGTATTGTGCCCCTCAATTTAAAAAACCCCAACAATACAACCAAGAAAAACAAACAAAAAAAAATAAAATCCAAAAACCCAAAACTGAAAACATATGTAATGTGACATAATAATCTGCAGTTCTGGAAAAACCAAGCAGTACTGGGTGGGGGAGGAAGACACCTTTTACAGATTGCAGCTGTCAGAAGTAAAAAGTCCCTGAAACCTTGGCTGTCTTTGTACTGAGTGTCCTATGTTGTACAGCTGGACTCCAGTACAGTTTTGTGACAAATTATTAAGTTACTCTTCAAGTGGTCTGTGGGAGGGAGAGGTCAGCATCACCTCCCCCAGGTGGACAGTGCATTACTTGAGAACAGACATGTCTGTTGAGAATATCCTCATTTTTATAGCAAAATGGGGAGGGAGTGGAATACATAGAGAGGAGAAAGGCAGTTTTTACCCAGTATTGCTGTAATCTCCTGATTGTTTGTGACCAGTGAATGCAGGATGGACTGAGCATATAACAGCAATCTCATGGAGGAGTGTTCTGCCACCTAACTCTGCTTGGACCATAACCCAGCCTATATGTGAATAGTGGCCTTTACACTAGGGATGAAAAAAGCATAGGCACCTTTTCTGGATCATCACTTATACTGGGTGGTTAGGTCTGCTTTGATTAAATCAATGCTGTTTTTCCAGTGGGATCTTGAATTCTGGAGAAGACATAAAGGTCAAAAAAGAAGGAACAGTCTACATGTGCAATGCCACTGTTTCAGAGCAGCAAAATCTATAATGGGAATAACACTTCCTGGATTCAAGAGATGAATAGGGGAAGTAACTCTAAATCTTGAGAAAGGCTGTACATTTTTATTTTTCACTTCTGGTTGCTTACTGTTTATCTTGCTTCATTCTAAACTCAGTATTGCCATTTTTTTGGTAAGTAAGGGGTAAAAAAAAGGAACACCCAGTCTTCTGCTGAAATCCTGATGTTTCAAATCCAAGCTGACAGTGACTGTGTGTGAGGACTGCATTTTGCTGAGGTGCTCTGCTATTCTGCAGATCATTTTTCCTCTTGGCTCAGTTCTTTACTGCTTAGACACTGCCTGCCACGGCATATACAGCAGGTCTCATTTCTTTGGGAGGTAGACTCTGAAGGGTTTTAACTTCCTCCATGTTGAAACTCAGTGATCACTTAATTGCAAGTTAAAAGTGTTCAGAAGTTTTCCAATGTAAATCTTGTGGTCTAGAATGATTTGCAAGGTAAGCCATAGCTAACCGACAGCATATCCAATAGTGACTTTTCACCACAATACTTTGGTATTATAAAGGTTTGAAAGAAGTCTTTTACTTTGAAGGCTATTTTGATTCTGTACAAAGGAGAGGGTTATGGAAGGTTTTTGGGAAATGGGGTAATTTGGGGAACCTGGACAAAAGGGAAGTCAACAGGAAGCTGATACAGATGAGATGATACAGACACATGAGAGGAAGGAGACTGAGGTCAGGTTATGAGCAGGCTGCCTGAGGCTGTGACTCCTGTGCTGCAGCAGTTGAAGGGAAGAGGAGTGCACTGTCCTGCTTGAAGCTTCTTGGCATAATTTCTCTTCTTCCACTTGTAGGACTGATGCATTTAGTGCTCGGCAAAGGAAAGAAAGTGGTTGCAGCTTTGGAGAAGATTGGGGCATAGGGAAATAGGAATTTGGGGAAGACAAAATTTTGTGACTTCAAAAGACGGCACAGTGGGGGTCTGAAAGTTTGCTCTATCTATCTACCTACCTACCTATATATGGCAAATATAGACAGTGAGGCAGTGGAGAAAAACAGCCAAAAAAATTATGTCCTCTCCTGTGTTCAGCACATTGCTGCATATATTCTCTATAGAAGGAATAACTTCCTCATATGTCCCACTAGTGTTTTTGTAAAAGTAAAGGCATGACACTCAGCTGGTAGAAATGATTAAAGCTCTTTTCATTTCTTCCTCTTGTGTCATGCTGGCATGGGGTTAAAAAGCTGGAGGGGAGAATTGGCCCTCTGCTGCTCTTCAGTGAGGAAAGAAGCAACAGAGGTGGCAGGAGCTTTTCAAGTGTGCTTTCTTTGGCAAGGTGTTCATGATACTCACCAGAAGGTAATCACCAATTTTACAGAAAACACCCCTGGGACCAGAAACTGGGCTATGTGACCTAAGACCAAAAGCCGTGTCTGGCCATCAAGCTACAGGCTCCCCATCTCTGAAGCAGTAACATCTGGAAATCAGGGAGGAAAATTATTTAATCCAGACCTTGAATATCTCCCTGCTATGTACAGAGTTCAATGGCTGTTCACGAAAAAGTGTATTGTCATCTTTCAATGTTATTGTTCTCCTGTCAGTCCACTGAAGGTTTGCAGTGGTGGTACATACAAGTGTGTGTTAGGGGAGAAGAATTGGCTGAAGAGTAAAGCTTTTATTTCTGATGTCTTTGGTTTGGGCATAGGAAGACACATTTTGAGAGCTTTCTAGTTCAAGATTTCTTGATTTATGCAAATATGTACTAAAAAAAGCTTGTTTTTTACCAGAAACCCTGTCATTCCTCCCACAGTTGATTCCTGTACCTGGAGATCTTGTGCAGTGCCTTCCTCTCAGGGGGAATGTATCTACAGCTTAAAGTGATACACTTTTCTTTCAGTCTTTGCTAAGTGGTTGGCTTAGCTTTTGGGGTGAATAGCTTATTTTTAAGCAAGTGGAATAAGGCAGCCTGTACATGTGCTCCAGAATTAGCAGGTATTTAAGCACACTTTTGACCTTTGTATATTAAAGGAATATTTTCCATCCTAGCATGAATATAGAGATTTATCAGGATTTTGGGGGTTGGTTTGGTTTTGTTTTTTCTACAACAAGATTTTGATCATTAGCTGAGAGTATTGAGAAACATTTAATTCTTGGTCTCTTCCAGTTCCCATTAGTGATGCCCAGTTACAGTAACATCCACAGGCCCTCTCTCTCTTTTGGGATCTCTCTAAATTATCATATAAATGTAGAAATTACAAGGAAATAAGCTAGATGTGACAACTTCTACAACAAATACTATATATGATTGTCCCCTCAAAATGGGGAGTTTTACTCTGCAGTGTAGCTGTGTTGCTTCCTTGGGCAGGTTGATGGGCAGATTGGAACAGAAATGCCCCAGTGCTGCATCTTCAGCTATACTCTTAGTCAGTGTTGGTTACAAATGTGGGAAAAGCCTGAAATACCTGCCTCATTCTCCTTTACACGTGTGACTTGGAATGTCAGGTTTTTAGTTTGTCCTACCAAGATCTCATGTCCCACGTATGAAACACGTATGACTTCACAGTGTTACTTAATCTGAAATACTCTTTTTCAGCTAGCAGTTTGGCAGGGATTTTCCCAGCCATGTGGTGTAGCTCAGATGATTCATTGCTTTATGCTTCTCCATTTATAGGGTTGCAAAATCCAATAAAACAGCAGTTCAGCTTTTAATCTGACTCAGTAGTTTGTGGAACAGCAGAACAATCAAGATAGTCTTTAAGGCTGCCTTTGTCTTCTGAAATTAATTGCTTGATTTTTATTATGCGCTTGCAGGAATTTGTAACTGTCTTGGTGCGAGACCCCAGGATACAGAAAGAAGACTCATGGCATTCTTATATAGACTACGAGATATTTATTCACGTAAGTATAAAAATATGAGAACAGATTCTTCGGGGTCTTGCTACTGTTTCTGTCCAAGCCAGGGTTGTCTTTGGGATATAAATGGAATTTCTGCTACTGGGATGTTGGGAGGCTATTATTCTCTTTTTAGCAACTGGGATGCAGTGGAACAGGTAAGGTGGGTTTGCCAATGGCCATGTTGTAGGTCTGGCAGAGCTGGAGTTGAACCTAATGTGCTCACATGTGCATTCCACAGTGTCTTGCAACAGACAATTCTTAGCTTTACTTATCAACTAGAAGACTGTTACAGTCAGCTGTATCTTGCCCTTGTAAAAGAATGTTGATGTTCAGGTATTTGAGGGAAAACAACTTTCTTTTCAAGTATTTATCTGGTTATTTGTACTTCAGAATTCTCCTCGGTTCTTTTTGCCAAGTTATTTGTTTGCTGCAGTGTGGTTTTTTTTCAGGCTACGTTGACATTCAAATGATGCTAATTTAGTGGTGCTTGGATGTGTGAAGTAGTTGCATTTGGGTTTGTGATTGTAGCCCACCATATGTTAATGGGAGTGCACTTGCCATTACGGTGCTTTTGGGCCTTTAATCTGTCCTATACATAATTTTGTTTTCCTGATTGTTCTTTGGTGGATGACATATGGAAGGCATTATCCTAATTTGCCAAATCTAGATGCAAAGATTTTAATTGCAGTGTAAAATAAAGGTATTTGAGAGCACCAAGTTATATGGTTAATGCTTGGCACAAGACCAAAAGCATTTCCCTCCTGTGTGGAAGAGTTAAGTAGTTAGTGTATGAGAGCAGGCAGTCAAATGATGACTTATCAAATGTCTGTGTGACGAGTACTTCTCTCCTGTGTGGCAGTCAGAGTTGTGAAACGTTGAAATTTGCAGTGTGCTTCAAGTACTGTTTCCAAAGCAATTATATTTTTCATTTCTGGTAAATAGAAATTCTGTGGATTTGACAGGGTGGGTGCTGTATTACTGTTTCACAGACATCAGTGTCTCTGAATAAAAGTGTATTAAGGCTTTCTCAGTGACTCCTGAGTTGGGGAGACGTTTTTTAGACCCAGTGTGTCTTCATTCAACTCCATCTAGCAACTAAGCATCACATAGCTGCTTGCTCACATCCCCTCTGTCCCACCAGCAGGATGGAGGGAAGAGAACTGGGGGAGTGAAAGAGAGAAAACTCGTGGGTTGAGATAAGAACAATTTAATAATTGAGATGTAGTAGTAACATTAATAATAATATTAAATAATAGTAATATTAAATAGTAATAAAAACAATACTAATAAAGAAAATAAAAAAAGAAAAACAGATAAAACTGTAGAAAGACAAGTGATACAAATGAAAACATATGCTCAGCACCAAGTATCCAATGCCCAGCCAGTCCCTCAGTGGCAGTCCCCAGCCAACCTCCACTCTAGTTTATTGCTGAGCCTGATGCCATATGGTATGGAATATCGGTCAGTTGGGATCAGCTGTCCCAGCTGTGTTTCCTCACAGTTTCCCTTGCACCCTCACTGGTGGGGTGGGGTGAGGAGCAGAACAGGCCTTGGCTCTGTGCAAGCCCTGCTCAGCAGTAACTAAAGCATCTCTGTGCTACCAGCACTGTTTCCAGCACAGATCCAAAACACAGCCCCAGCTGCTGTGAAGAAAATTAACTCTCCCCCAGCCAGACCCAGCACACAGTGATACATCATCCATCACTGGGCATCTCTGAAGCTATTAAGCATCAGCTTCCTGCCACCACAATGCCAGGGTCCCTAAGTCAGTCCTGCCATCCAGACTTCCCAGTGGGCTCAAAGTATTGTGTCTGCCTAGCTTTTAGGCCATCTGAGTTCCCCTTCTACCCAGCTCTTACAGCACTTATCTTCTTACAATGTGCAGTATCCTGGGTGTGCACCTCTGTTCCAGAAGGCTGTCATCTTTGTGCTCTCCACAGCCTGCATCTTGTGGCTGGCTGGAGTTACTGCTCCTGGCAGGCAGGGAGAGTGGGCTGGACTGCAGGCAGTTTTCTAATGGAGTCCTGTCTGCTATGTAGGATTTCATCTAAATGTATGCTCCATGGGAAGATTTGGCAGAAGTATTTAATTTCCACAAATTGTTTCTCTTTTGATGAATTGGCGTTTTCCTTGTGAACTAATAGTGCTCTGTGGGGAAATTTGCAGATGCTGCTACTTGCAGAGAGCAGTCACATTGGTTTCTTTGGTTTGATTTAAGTGGGACTGCACACTGAAAAAAATCTGTGTAGATGTTTGCAGGATTGTAACTAGAATAGCTAAAGATCCTTTTCCCCTGCAAAGATTGACATTATCTACTGAAACCTTTTTCTAAGGCCTGTTTTTCCTGTCACTGTAAGTTGTACTGTAATCCAAATCTCTTGCTTTTAAAAAGAAAGCAATGAAAAATATTTCCCTGAGAAGCAGTAGAAACTATCACCAGTTGTGCCTGAGGTAAAGCACAGTCCTTAACATAAACTGAATTAATGTCAAGCTTTCCATTGGTGTCTCGGGCATTAGTATAACATCTTGGATGTGTTGTTAATACCATTCCTGCATTTTAGCTTAAGCTGATTTGCAAAGCAAATGTTTTTTATTTCCCAACAGACAAACAGTATATGCTTTACAAGGAAAACATCCTGTGTCAGACGACGCTATCGAGAATTTGTTTGGCTCCGGCAGAGGCTTCAGAGCAATGCAGTGCTTATGTGAGCAGATTTATATATGGCTATTTAATAATCTGTCAGTCGTGGTGGGAAGGATTGTTTCATCTTAATTCAGAGAACTACAGAAATCAGATCTGGAAAGTATCCTATGTTTCTTACTAGCACAAGTTTATTCTGTAGAATGCATTTTATGTGCTTTAAACCCAGAAGAATTTGGAGTTTATTGTAAGAGACTTGATCTCTATTTTCTTTTGCTATGCACAGGTAGCAGAAATAACAATCTAGTGTAGGGGTTTGTACCTCCTCTTTGTTGTTCTTTGATGTGCTTAGGTCTTACAAGCACCATAAGAGACCCAGCCAGACATGGATGCAGGCTTAACAACTGGACCAGAAAAATCAGATGAATTTATTTTTCCCTTTGAGGAGTGTGAGAAGCCCTTCAGTTTCTCAACTTTGTGTTCCCAAATTGATTTCAAGGGCTTCTGGAACATAACCTATGATTTTCACATGCTTGGGGTTGGCATTTGCTTACTGCATTTTTCTCTGCTGTTTTACATTTGGTTTTAACTACGTTTTTTTTTTTTTTCTTGTTTATAAAGACAGCTACCTGAACTCCCATCCAAAACTCCCTTTTTCAATATGAACAATCCTAATCACGTGGACCATCGACGTCAGGGTCTGCAAGAATTCTTGGAAAAGTGAGTACAGCCTATCCAAAGGTGTTGGAATTTTTATGAGGTCATCAATTTCTGGTTTAAAATAGCTCATCTCTGGTACTTGAGAGCCACCGTGTGGTCATCTTTACATGCTACACGTTTAGTTATATTTCTTGCACTGTCATAATTCATACATGTGACTTCAGCTGTATTGGTTATAAGGAGACTTCAGCTGGGGCTTTTCCATTGTGTTTCATTGCACTGATTATAGATAATAGGCTTAGATTTAAGTCACTTTGCAATTGCATACTAAGTTTGGGAGATCTTCACTGTGATGTCTATTTCTAGCTTTCAGTAAGGAGATGTATATTCTTGTACAAAGCTCCCCCCTTTTATGTTCGTGGAAAATCGGTGTCTTTGTGGGCTAAACCCCTGTGAGCCTGGGAAAATTCTCTAGTGAGGTCTCCTAACACAGAGCTATCCTATAATGCAAATTACTTTGTTTACCAGTCCCACTGACATGAGCAAGCTGTAGCAACTGTGACCATTTTCAGTGTAGCTGCAATCTATATAAAATAATTTATCAGGTTTAGCTAGACCCTGACATGCATTACAAGGCAGTAGTTTATGATTTTCAGTACTGCATCCCTCAGTCTTACTGCTGTGACCACTTCACCTTCTACAGTGGCTGAGCCCCTGTTGGTATAATTTTCTGCTTTTTCTGTGCCATTCTTGTCGTGTCCTGGCACTGCTGGTGTGAGAGCAGGCTGCTCAAAGCTGCTGGGGCAGGAGCTGTGTGTGCCTCTACCAGCTGCCTTTAGCTGCTGCTCGGGGTAAGGGCATGGTGAAACACTGCAAGCAGAGACTATTCATCTTCTTTCCAGTCAGTGTATTATAAGCCTCCGTAACAGACAACAAATCATTGGTCCCAAGGTATATTTGTTAGGCTTAGCAGCTGAAGGCAGGGACAGCTAACTGCTGCAGGAATAATATTCTGCATGCAGTTATATAGGATCTATGGCCAAAAGGTCAGCCAATAAATACTGGCTGAAGGCATGTGAGACAGGGAAGAGAAAGCAGAGAAGGATTAGAGGGTATTTTTACACCTCAGGAAAGAAAAGCAGTGAAATGGAAGGGCTGTGCTCCTAAAGCATGTCAGTGATAATATGAAGTGTGGTAGCTCAGGTTCCTGGGTCTCAGCAGTTGTATCCTAACTATGCTGCCCCATGGAGTAGTGTATTTCAATAAACACTCTCATTTTAAAATGGCAAAGAGGCCAGTCTGATAACAAGGTATATCAGCATCAGAAATGTTTACAACTGCTGTCTGCTCTTCAAAAGGCAAAACAGAAAGGTAGACTATCTTAAAAGATATCCTCATGCTCCAATTTTGTGGATGACTGTAGCTTACATGAGTACTGACAGCAGAAAATGACAGCATGTGGAACATTTCACCATGCTGCTGTAAGTCCAGGAGTGGGAAAAGAGGCAACTCAGTTGTAAGGTAGTGGTTTAAATGTTTGAACTTAAGTGCAAGGAAAGTCTCGTCTCCGCCCTGGGGAGCAGCTGGAAGGAATTTTCAGAGGTTGTGTTGAGATGCGCTGGCCTGGCACCTTGTGTGCTGTACCATTGCCCTCTGCTGGCTGGCCCCGCTGTGCTGCTGCTGCTCACAGAAGGCGTCTTCAGATTGGCTCAGCTGCCATGATGCTTTCCCTCCCAGCCCCCCATTTTATGACTCTGAACCAAAGGTTATGATTATTTTTCTGAAATTGAATTTGAGGAGCTCCCAAACGAGAGTTAGTGTAAAATATATATATATATATATATATATATATATATATACACCTATGTATAATAGGTATAATATACATATATATGTAAAATATACACATATATTCTGTATAAATATCTGTTCGATATGTAAAATATGCACAATATACATATGCTACATAGATACTGTATGTAATATACACACTTTACTGAAGCTCTGGGTCTGGATGCTGCACGTTCTGTGGGGTGGCAATGCCTGGTGAAGCAGAACCTTTCTGATACATTAGAAAGGGGGACCCTAACCCAAAACTG